TGTGAATTAATCGAATTTTATGTACCTAGTCGTAGTTTAAGATCTGAATCAAAGTTTCTTATTAAAACTCGTCAGGTGTGTAGTAAAAAGTCCAAGGTGTTATACAAAGACCGTGCTTTTGAAAATTTAGGTCCTAAACTTTTTAATGAATTACCTCTGTCTGTTCGTTCTAGTCCTTCAGTAGACATTTTTAAATCCAGACTGAAAACGCACTTATTTAAATGTGCTTTTAATATTTGACTGATTGTTTATTGTATCAGCGCCTTTGATCTTCATATGTTGGAATTGTTGCGCTTAATTAAATAAAGTTATTATTATTATTATTATTAGGAAGCAACTACCGATCGAAATTACATAAATGAACCAATCTAAAATATTTTGATCAAAGCTTTTTAATTGTTCCATTTGTAACATTTGTAAATAGTTGTTTCTTTGAATATACGCTGTACTATATTTTTTGCACGAAATGCTTAAGGTATATACTGCTACGTACTAGTATTCCGGGCATTATAAAGCACATGTTAATTATAGTTGGAACAGGAGCAAGAGTCCAAATTTTACATCATATCTGTGTGGTTATATTAATTGTGATGCTGAAAACACCAGTAATTTAAATAAATTTGCTATATGCACGCTGTATAAGTGTACTAATTGATTTATAACTAACATCGTATACTGTAAAATGACTAATTTTCACTGGGTTTAAATTTCATTGATTTACCATTTCAGGCATATTCAGTGGGTTTTAAATTCACGGTTTTATCATTTAGATAATGCGTTCTATGCTAAATTTTACATATTCACTGGGTTTTAATTTAGCGCATTTTCCAGTCAGCGAAATAAGCTAAATTAAAACCCAGTGAATAATTACCCCCTTTACAGTACTTGTTTGAATAATTTCCACCAATCAGGTTTACTGGATTATATGTGTGCGCAACTTGCATTGCGCAGTACGTCATACGCACATATCAACTCGCCCAATCAGTTTGCAACGTCCAGTAAGATTCCAGTTGGTGGTTTGTCGGAATTTGTGATTTTAATTAAGACATATATATTGATTTCTTATATTCTTATATGTATATATTTCGAAAGAAGTGGGATTATTCTGTTACTATGAATGTAAATATAATGTACATAGATGGCACGTAATTAAAACAATTTGCATATTACTGACGCATTTAGTAGTTTATTTAAATTGATACTGATGTTAATCAGTTTTCACTCAGACAACAGTTGTCAAAGGTTATAACAATATGTCAGTCACTGGAGTGTTATTCCATCTGTTATTTTATCTAAACTGTCTCCATAACATTGAATTTCTGGTCATACCGACGGTCTTGGTGGCATCGTTTGCTCCCTATTTTATTATACTCATTATATTTCATACCGTAATCGCCTGGCTATGACGTCATTTAATATATCATCCCGATGAACTAAACACCACCAGACTTTCTCACCCAAATTAGTGCAGACTGTAAATGAGACTACAAGGTGTATTATGAATGTGTGATGAAAAACGAAGAACAATTTAAACATCGTCAACCACATGCGATCACGTGGTTGCGGAGAATTATATAACTTATTCAAACACTTATGTCGTTACCAGAAGTAGTCGTCCACCTCTGGAAACTATAAATGGTTACCGATCAACCACGACAGGGAAAATACGACTCTGGATTCAGTGTTGATGGTGCCAAGACAAGCGATGGCGACTGCGTTGAGGACTGGGTTGCTTTGCCGCGGTCGCCCTTTCTTTATCGGCGCCGGTAAAATAATGACCCACCCCGTTACATCGCCACGACCACAATCCCTCTGGGACTGTGCCGCGACCTACTTTTGTTTGCCATGGTGGCCTCTATTCTGTATAATTACACAATAAAATTCACGTTGAAACGCCTTGGGCAAACAGGCGTTCGTGCCCCTAAAACCTTTAGCCCCGAATGACTATGATAACTTATACGCTGGAGTCCAGATGTCACTTGAAGTAGGCTTCAGTCTTGATCACTCCCTAAAATACCGTAACCTCTGCCGAAGGTACGTAAATGTACGTGCCTCTTTTGTATATTGTTGGCTGGCATGTTTCCAAACGAACTGCCCTATACATTGTCATGACTACGGTTTGTTGTCAACCAAACAAATGAAGTCTTGGTAGCTGCATTATACTTGTCTCGAATGCAAAAACTAATGACCACGAATGGAAAAATATTATACATGAATATCATATGTGCGAGTGATTATATCTAGTTATTGTCAGGAAAAGGCAGATCTCCCTCGAGCCGAGGTAAAATGGCTCATACCGGGTAGTGTAGTGGCGCTGTGACGACATCGAGCACATATTGATTTATGAAATTGCATAATGCGATGATATTTCACGTAATTGATCTAGGACGAACTAATGTATTCCAATCGACAGTTGATCGGGATTCCTAGCTGTTTAAAGTAGAGCCGTGCTTTGGTACAATCCCTAAAATAAAGACATTAAAAGTAACGAAAGATGTTGGTCGTCATTGTGTGTTAACCATAATAACAGAAAGTACGCACCATCAATAACACAAATACCTTCACAAAACGAGTGGATTCATTGTTTAATCGTTTGAGTATAAGGTTTAATTCGTCGACAACGGTCATTGTTTGAGCCGACGACAATACTCGAAGACAATGGTGGAATTTCGAATACTGTTTTTGAAACGAATTCTACCATAGCAACCTTTTTTCATTGTTATCACTGTATAAAATAACAACTCGTGTTAGGTAACACAAGATGAAATAACTTGTGATAGATAATACATAGTGAAAGCCGTGTTTATTTGATGGGAATGTAAGTTTTACATTGAGTTTGTGACACTGATCAATATTTATTTTGTTTACTAGTAGACTCAGACATACTTTAAAAGCTAATAAGAATGCTACTATAACAACTTATACATCATCTGAAAGCTTAAATATAGGCAAATACGGTAGCGTATATTCCATAGCAATATTCGTCTAATGAATTACCTGATGACAAACTACTAATCCGACTATTGAAAACACCGTTTTTTCAACATTTTCTATTCATTTTAATGAACAGTGGCTTGCCAAGAGCATGCGTGCTATACGTATCGCGCCCCAATTTTACAAGACCTGCCTTCGTGTTCGCGATACTGCAAAATTACTATAGAAATGCTACCGACAACGGATTGTCGCTGTCATAACACGTGTAAAAACAGAACTAGGTCTGAGGCGCTAAAATTTTGGAATATATGATGGAAAAACTAATTATTGATATCTACAATATTTTACAAAGGGCAATTTTGACGTACTTTTTTTCACTTGACTTTTTGATATATTTATTTATTTGAATCAGATGTTCATCATCCCTAGAGACTGGGTTTTTTTCTGACCTGTGCAGATATTTTTTTTTATTGATCACCCCCAGAATTGGTAATGGCGCACTCCTAAGTTATCTTTATGCGACACAAGACAACGCTGGCACACTATAACCCCCCC